ACTAGGGATGGTTTCTAAACGTTACTGTACCAAATGTTTTGTACCAATTATCATACTAAATTTTTAATATGGCAAAATTTAGTACCATTATCATTCTGAATCTTCATTATCTCAAAATTTGGTATGCCATAAAATTTGATTGCCATTGTATAGTAATAGTATTGTACCAATTTAATATTGGGCTATTTTTTTGGGAACCAAACCTGATTTTAGCCCCAAACGTTTTTTGCTTCGTTGTTTTTGTTAAGCACCTAGCCAACATATTAAGATGAAACTTATAATCATTTTTTAATTTTTAAAATATTCTATCTTACAACCAAGATTCATCATTCATCATTATTTCACACATATTTATATTTAGTTTGTCAAACCATGCATCAAGGTTTAAATATAAAAGGGTTGCAAACCAAATCAAATAGAAGTTAAAGACAAGTTGCAAACTAAATGAAATATATTAAAAATAAAAGTTAGTACTTAGTATTATATAATTTTACAAATATATATATTTACATAATTAAATAGATATTAAATATATTCATTACAACAATATGGTTGATATTGGTTTTGGTTACCAATACCATACTAAATGTCTTCGGTTCGGTACAATAACCGTACCATTACAATTTAGCAAAAAAAAAAAAAAAAAAAATCACCCCAGTTCATACAATATATTATTGGGAACTTTAACGAAAAGCTTCCGGTACTGTTCATTTTAACGAAAAACCACATTTTACACTAAAAAGTCAATCATGGTACTATTCATTTTACCCTTTATTTTGTTCTTATCGTTAAAACTCAAAGTTTTCAAGTCATTTTCATTAGTTTTCCTTATATTATTTACTATGGAGGACAAGGCCAGAGCAGGAAAAGAGAAAGGGCTTCATCCTTGAAAGGAAGGTGCATTTTCCCTCACCACTTCAAGTTGTGGTAATGTTCACCATCTTATTTATTGCTATTGGATGAGTTTAAATTTTAAGATTTGTTTTTATTCACCGTATACAGATGTTAAAATTTAAACTAATTGCACAATAGTAAATAATGTCGTAAGCATCGTTATTACTCGAGGATAGTGAGAGAGTGAAAATATTCCTTTAAGGAAGGGATATCATAGATCAAAATAAAGAAGCAGAGCAAAGGATCGGAAGATTTAAAATTACAAGATGCATCGGTGACAGTAACTGAATAAATGTATGTGGTTGGGGTTTGAACATATGGTATGGGATCATGGGAAAAGATAAAAAAAGTGATAAAGTTCTAGATGACTTTTTTTCCATTCTCTTCGATCTGTGATTAAGAATTAAATGGCATTAAAATATTTAAAATAATGAACGATGACCAATAGAAGATATACCCACATTTATTCCATACGTGATGCAACTCCTCTCTTCTCTCTTTTTCCTTCTATATAAAGCCCCAACAGGCCTTGCAATTTCTCATATCAAAGCAAAGCTATTAGGGTTTCCTCAACGATGAGGGATCGAGGTTGCAGTAGAGTGATAGATAGGGTTCCCTTCCCGGCGAGGTCGAATAGAGGGATGGATAGGAGTAGCTAGATGTAGGCTTGGAAACCCTCTCCCAAAAAAGCAAATAAATGTTCCAATCTCATATATAGAGCATTTGGGGGTTAAACAGCTAGGGTTTTGGGAGGCCTCTTTCTCTCTGGTGCAATATCGAAGGAGGTTCAAATAATTAAAGGGTAAAGGACGGTGACAGAAGAGAGTGAGCACACATGGTATTTTCTTGCATGCTGGGTTCATGCTTGAAGCTTTGCGTGCTTACTCTCTATCTGTCACCATCACCTCCCTCTCTGAATCATGTTTGTTTTATATATTTGTGTTTACAATTTTTCATGAATTTTTTGCATATAAATTTACACCCAGGAAATTGTTGAGAATAAGTCTCACATTAATGGGAGGAGAGACCTTGAATAGGCTTATAAGAGGTTGAGCTACTCTCCATATGGTGGAACCCCAACTTTCTTCATGGCATTAGAGCAAGTTGTCACACGTGTGAAGCCAAACGGTCACACGTGCTCCAAGTCACCCGTTGTGTTGTTCACGTGTTAGGCTTGAAAATTTGCCACACATGAGAGGGTGTGTTGGGAAGGAGTCTTACATTGATGAGAGGAGGGACTTAGGTTCTAAGAGATTTGGCTACTTTTTATATTATCAATTGATTTTATGATGGAACTCAACTTTCTTAATTAGTTTTATGGTGGAACTCCTTTTTTTTTTTTTTAAATTACTAACGATTAGTCGGAATCGATGGGGATCTAGACTGGATCATTGCATGTTGTTCTCGTGGTCATAGAGATTTATTCGCTTTTGACATGTCGATCTCAAACTATGTATGGATTAGGGTTTCTGAGGGTTTTTATTTATTTATTTATTTTGCTAACAAAAATCCCTTAATTTTAGGCATTAAATTTGTCATTAGTTTGCTGACTTCAAGGACGTTTTCTAAAAAAGTTCTATATTTGATAGTCAGGTGAATTTTGGTCTCGTGCCATAATTGGTTCACCATAAAGTTGAAAGTTGAAAATTTCTCTCCATGGACACGAGCTCTGAAGTCTGATCTGAGTTCTGTTAATGAATTATGAACCGTATTCCTCGTATTAGGCTTCTTTTTATATGGGTCAGAATAAATTTTGGTAGTTTTTTTTAACAAACGATATTATCTACATTAACGGAGTGAGAGGTGAGCTAAGTTTTACAATTGGCTAGCACTAATGTGGTTCAAATTCATCTTTGAAAATAATCGAACCTAAAACGTCTCACTTATAAATAAAGAATAAAGAAGAATACTATTAAACCGTAATGCTAAGTGGCAACAAATTTTGGTAGTTGAGATTTTTTTTTCTTGATGTAGTAAATATTGCAATGGTAGTACTTGTTGGCCTAATTTGCAGCTAAATCTGGAATATTCTGGTGAAGTGAATAGCCCCTCGTTGGGAGAAGAATTTCCATACTGTGGCGTTTCATGAAGAAGCCGTCAGCATGTAACCCTTCTTCCTTGGGCAGATCTTGTTGCCATAGGTGTTTACTAACAGGCCCTGCAGGCCCTGGAGATTTGAAAACCTAGCAGTTTCTTGATTCATGTTGTAATGCTATTGTGACAAATAAACTGCATTGATACAAACTGTTTTTGAAGTTTGCTTCCACTGATTACGTTGATTAGCATCTAGAAAGATAATTTGTGTATAACAAAAGCTTATTTTTAGCTATGCCACCTGAAACTTACTTTTAATTATCCGGTTTTATTTGAAATATATTTAGTATTTGATTGATCCAGACTGTTTTTAATTCACTGTAAGTTGAAAATCACTACTTTCCTCCCTGAAATTTCAAATTCGTTCCATTTGACTTATAGACTCTCTCTTCTTCCTTAAACTTAACATTCTACAATTGTAGAGGTGAAAAAAGAAGAAGAAGAAATTAACTAGCCCCACATTACGAAATTCACAGAATTAAGATAATGTGGAGCGACTTTTGAGTTTTACAGAGTAAAATGACGACTTTTGAGTTTTGAATTCAGGTGGCAAAATAGAATCAAAATTGAGTTTCAAGGGCAAAGTTAATTTGTTCGATCTTTTATACAACGATATTGGTATAAACTTGCCGGCACTAGTTTCAAACCTAAGATCCTTCTCACTTATAAGGAGAAGAAAAATATCATGCCATGAAAAATTATATATTTGTTATATATTAGTCCCATTTAAATGTGGATACTAGTCCATTTAGGGTGTTGGGTTTCTAGTTTCTACCATGCATCCCGGTTTCAAAATTATCCATCTCCCATATATAATAGTGAAATTAAAAAAAAAATCATAGATTGAAAAACCAATTTCTCGTTTGCTTTCAATGATATGAGTGGAGAAATCGAATACAAGATCTCGATACACAAGAAAATTTAGAATATAATAAAAGAACAAGAAAATACAACATATTGTTTATAAAATTAGAACCTCTTATTAAAACTTATGAACACAATTTACTCTTAAAGTATCAGCCACTAACACTTCAAATTTTAACGTAAGGTAATCTCTTACTCCCACTTATTAACAGAGACAAGCTTATATAGATAAATTATTATTACTCCCACTGATTAAGAGAGTAAAACAAAACTTTGTAAATGTTTACAAAAAGAAAAAGATACCTTTCAAATACTCCCATTAGCAAAACATTATTAGTCATGGGATCTAGAACATAAAATTTGTGAGCTCAACATCTTTATTCAAGATATATGTAGGGAAGTGACTCTTGTGACTGAAAAACTATACAAAATTATTTGGTCAATTTTGTTCTTCTAACATTTGACAGAAATAGAAAACGTTAACTAAATGTTTTCTTATTGCATCAAAAACATATAATTCCATAATCATTGTTGGACAAAAACTAATTATATTAAGATTGCATAGCTAAAATATAAAATACAAGGGCAAACGTATATAGCTTCAACACTTTTGAGCATATGAAGTATATACAATCTTGTCAATTCCATGCTTCACTATACATTGATTTATAGTTGTTCTGAATAAGAAAACATTTTTTAGCACATTAATTATCCATCAATAACATATAAATCACAAGTCCAATTTCTTGAACAACAAACAATAATTTATAAGTAAAACACTTTTGAGCAGAATATACTCATTAACCCTTCTTGAATTTCCTGCAAGATTAGTTGCACATATAAAATATAAATAAGTATGATAATGTACGTTTTATCTACCAAAACTATAACCACTAAAAGTATGCACAATTGATGAGTGTGAAGCCCATAATACATTATTTCTCCCACTTGGGCAAACACCCAAAATTGCAAGATTAAACACTAGAGAAAGTGGTTTTCATATTACAAAATATAGGCTAGTTGAATCAATAAAGATCAAATACATATTTTTTTTTAAGTAGGTTAGAATTAAAATGTTACATAAATAAAAACTTAAGCAATGACTACAAATTTTATTTTATTTTAGTGTATGAGAGAAGACTCACATATTTGTTAAATATTAGATCATCAATTAAAATGAAACCTAATAAGAGAATCCAAACTCAAAATTTATGTTTTAATTCTAAAACAAAGTCGAATAAAATAAACACTTAGATATCTAAATAACATCAATTTTTCAACAATAATTTTAATCCAATTTAGAACTCAGAGAAAATTAAGGCAAAAGATTGGTAAATTTACCTACTCACTCTCTATTATGCAAGATTCATCATGGAAGTAGTCGAGTTGTGGAGAATCGAACCAACTGCAAATTGCATGATTGTTACACCTTGGGGCAGAAACTAATCATGCAAGGAAAATATCTGCATAGCTAGCCAAACCATAAAATACACAAAATACATATAGCTTCAACAATTTTGGCCAAATGAAAATATGTTAGAAGTACTTTATGTTGCTATAATATTAATTTATAGTTGGTAAATGATTTCCTGAAATTCCCTTTGGGACAAAAGTATTCACCATATAAATTAGAATTCTGATTTTTCAAAATAAGCCTTTAGAACAGTATTAAATAACTGTTTTGTTGGATATTCAATGATTCTCAAAAGATTAATCAGACAAAAAAGTATGTTGTTATTGACATTGAACAATAGAGTTCTCAAAAGAGGAAACATGGTTATCAGTTATTCAATAGAGACCAAATGATCAATTAGTAAACTGATGCCACTTTCCAATTTTTGTCTCAAAAGACAATGACCATCATAATCAAAATTGATGACCAAACAAAACATTGGTTTGAGCAAAATAAACCAATACACTTTTCAACCCAAATTTAATCAGTGTTGACTAATAATAAAAGTCATTAGAATTGAGAATTTGCATTGAAAACCATGACATATTAGAGCAAATAAACATGTCAAACAATTGGTAATATTGGATATGCACAAATTAGTGAAAACAATATTGCATAAGTTAACATAACTAGTTTTTGAAGAAACAAAAATTCAGCAATACCACTTTAGTTTGCAAATTCACTAAAAACTCAATTCTCTTTAGATTGTCATGAAAAATTTTAAGCATGAACTAATCATATACGACTACTGTTTTGCAAAATTTCATGATTTTTAAAATTTTATAAGCGAGCCAAAAATGAATTCGAAAAGAGAGGTGCTGCAGAAAATGTTCAGTACATACATGAGATTACAAATTCACCTAATATTTATTGTTCATCGATATGCATGAAAATTTTCAGACAATAAGTAAACATACAAGTCTCTTAATTCCCAAAATTTTCATAATTTTTGAGACTTTACAAGTGTACTAAAAGAAAATACGAAATGGGATGTGCTGCAAAAACTACAAAAATTCTATAGTACATACCGAAGACTAAATAATTCACCAAAAAATTCAAAATTTTCTCCAATATGCATTAAATTTTCCAGAAATTAAGTAGACATATAAATTTACTGTTAGCTAAAGTTCCATAATTTTTGCAATCTTAAAAGTGGGCTAAAATAAAATTGAAATGGAATGTACTGCAGAAACTGCGTAAATTCTACAGTACAATCCTGAAATTAAAAATTCACCAATAATTCATTTTAAAACCAATGCGCGTGAAAATTTCCAGACTTGAAATAAACATCTCAATGTATATCACACTAAAAGTTCATGAATTTTTGAGTTACATAGATATATCAAAATAATGTCACAAATTATCACAAATAGACTATATGGTGCAGAATTTTAGCAACATAGTGTCACACTTAAAATTTAACCATAAATCAATTTCTTGTGCGAAAGACTGTGAAAATTTTTCCATGTATAGAATTCATTATATAACATAACATGACATAATTTCATCAAAATTGGATTTAGGAAAATTTATCAAATTATTGTTCTAGAGCTGTGAGTGAAATTTACAAAATCTTCTAATCAGAGATCACAATAAAATGAGATCAATATGCGTTGATGAGAATTTGGTTAAACAATGACCACTCACTATATGCTTGCTACACAAAATGCATATAGGTAACAAAAATTTCATTCTTTTGGTGATTACAACAAGCAAGGCATCCCTTTTTCACCATAAAAGAAAAAGATTTAGTCATTTAGACAACTTTGCTTAAAGTCTACATTAGCAAAATATCCAAATTTGTTAAGAAATTTCAATGCAAAAGCCACACTACTATCCTTTAATTCATCATTCCAAAAAATTATGGAACGGACTACAATGTTAAATCATGCAATAAATAAGCCAATGTAATTAAAATATAAGTTAATATAGGCAGAAAATCTCAACACTACCACTGCAATTCTTCTCTTGAATATAAGGGTAATAGATTCATGAATAATAATAGAATAAGAGTGAATGGAAGTATGAAAATCCCAAAAAAACATGTGAACAAGATATATATAACTCAAGCTTCTCAAGATCAGATATATATAACTCAAGCTTCTCAAGATCTAGAGATTTGGGACTTGAAAAGTTTCCTAAACCTTATAAATTTCTGTAGAATTAGTTCATAAATTCAACTAAGATATGAAATTGTGAGGCGCATACGACATGTTAATGCCATGGTATAATCCAAAATTTAAAGTATGAAATCATATACAATGGCTCACCCAGGAAACTAGTATCCATAAGGTTAATTTCTATCAACTCAAAATAATATCACAAGATTGTAATAGAGAACTTACCAATTTTAAATTTTAAATTTTAAAACATAAACAGAAGCATGAACTCTTAACTTAATCGATTTAATTGGAACCAAAAGCTTAATTTCAATTCAACCAAATTAGGTAGAGATTAAATTGCGAAGAACAATTTCATAACTTTCCGGAGAGAATTTGAAATGAAAAAACGCTGAATAGAGCCAAAAGCCACCAGAAAAATATTTGCGTCTCAAGCTTATGTTAATCAGTTGAACCTCTAACCACGAACCATTGAGCAAACACTCACATGGTTCATCCAAAATAAAATCAATCATCAATTTATCTGTCAAGTCGTTTAGTGATAGATAAATGATATTGATTCCTAAAGTTTTACTTCATTTGTTGAAGTCTGATACTCTTTCTATTTGATGCCATTCTGCAAGCATTTCTTCCGAGAAAGATTTGTACAAGCATGTATATGTATGTATACGTTAATTAATTAGGGATGGAAGCAATTAGTCAATATGCAAAGTACCAGTTTTGATGTGTGCAAAATATGCAGCAAGTTTACAACAAACTCATTCAGGATTACGGAAGCATTTAACCAGGATCATCCAAGTGTTTTCATTACTCTGAATGGATGTACTTCTCTGCATAAATGTAACAAACACAACTCGAAGAATACCATGTAATTATTCATCATGCAATTGATTTTAAAAGAAATTGCAGATGAATTGGTTAGAGTATAGCGGAAGCATTAATTTAACCAGAATCAAATATATACCTCAGTTCCTTTAGTAAAAATAAAGAACCCCAGCCACGTTGGGTGGCTCTGATACCACATGTAAGAATTACATAAGAATTAAGCTAACAATATCACCAACAAAGTGTTAGGATTACCAACATGAACAAACAGATCATTAACAACCAAATCATAGCATCACATTAGTCGCAATGATGACTTACCTGATAGAGTCGCCATTGAATGAATAATAGAAGTAGTCTTCTACTTCCAGCACACAGCAACAATCTCTACTATTGAATAGGGTTTAGTTTTCGAATCTAATTGTGTGGAAGCAGGGACTTCTTCAGCTGATATATATATATATATGTATATATCCTCACATTATCATATTAGAGTTTCACTCAAACCGGCCTATTATCAGTAAGAGTGATAATCTCTATCTCTTCAATAAGGTTAAGTCTCATCATGACTCTCATTCCTTGTATTTACTTAATAAAGGCCCTTACTTGATTGCATGTAATTAGGACTCCAATATGTTTATTTCCTTAAGGCAAATCCTAGAGATTTCATTAACTTGTATGACAAGTCAACTATTCTCTCAATAATGCTTGGCATAATTCATTGCCATTCACAAAATGGTTTTACAGTTTACCGATTCATAACCAACTCCCTTGACCGGTTCTCAACTTGTTTGCGGCACAAATCAAGTTCTTCAACATCGAAAATGACCTCGTTAAGAACTCATTAGAAAAGTAGAAAGCACGCTGGAAATAATAAGGGATCACAACCAAGATTGTGCACTGAGAAAAAAGTAAAAAGTAGCTCAATGTACAAGCACATGCCAGAAAAACTTACATGCCGTCACCCCTAGACATAAAAGTTTTCACTTATCTTTTGGTCCTTGCAATTCAATGTTTCCTGTCGATTACCAATATAATAACAAAGAAACAAACTTCCATATCTTATAACCATGCATCTTTCAAAAGGGGAAAAAATCAATCGATAATAAGGATGAACTTCAAAATACACGCATATTGAAGATCAACCTGAGAAAGGTCGCCAACAGAATAGTTACGAAACAGCACACGACCATTTGGGCAAGAGGCCAATCCACAAATTTCATCACATATGAAGAGGCATGGACTACTTAAATAAAAATAGCTGCTTGAAATTGAAGTTTATCAGTTACCTTGAGAATTTTCCTAATATTCTTTAATAATAGAGGCGTCTTCTCTGGAGAAACTGCAGATAACACAAAAATCTACTTAACAAGTCAGCAACTTCTACGTAAAATAGATCACTCGTGAAATTTAACCACTGGGGAAAGTTGCTCAATATGTTCAATTTATATGCCATGGTTACAATATCCACATAAGATGAAGAAATCTGCTTGCTTAGATCATCAATGGCAGATCACAAACAAATGCGCTAACATGGGTATCTGTGAAGTCTTTATGTGTCTGGGATAACAACAAAAAACTCGTTGTGCATCACTTGTCACGGCTATTCAGTACCAACTACGAACCTAAACTGAACTTACTATTTTTTTACTACGTGTATTTTATTAGTCAAACATAAGCAACATCCTTGAACATATTAATATCCTTTGCCATGGAACTAGCAAGTAAATGCACAAGAAAACCACACCTTAACCAAGTCAACAGCCTTTTTGAAAAATCGCATGCATGGATGAAAACATCTGCATACATCGCAACCAGTGGGAAAATAGTGTTTCCAGCTTCACAGCCAATTCCTGTATGTTGAGAACATTAATCAATAATCCAATACATAACATCCTGACAGACAAACGGTCAGAGATCCTCTAGATAGAAACATAGAATAGATCACCAACTTTAAACAAACCAAGATAAATACTTTGCCACAAGATTATACAAAATTTAAGGGAAAAGCACAACTGGAAACAAGATTCTGGTTCCTCAAGACAGGAAAAAAAAAAGGCATTTTCTGTTTTGCTTCGAGTAATTATTCCACAAACGAGAACTAAATTATACTTCTTCCAATTTGCGCAGACACGAGATATAGTGCCACATGATCTCGACTGATACAACAACAGTAACACGCACGACTGGCACACAAGTTTACCTCTAAAAAAACTTTCCGCCCAGCGCCCTGATAGTCAAAAAGATGAAAAAAACAAAAACAAAAGTTAAAATCCTACTGAATTGTTGGATGAATATGAAATGACAAAACTAAAACCTCCATATATACCTCCAACATAATTCTTCACTCACCGAGAAATATTTGCCCCACTCCTTGTCCAGGTAGTGCCGATCTTTAAAGAACTGATTCAAGAAATTCGCAGTTAGATTTATATAGCACCGGCAAAATCAAAACTCGGATACAAGCATACAGAAAAATGCAACAGAAGTAAATAGCTACGGTGAAATTTACTAACCTAATAAGCAAGTAAAATCATACCTTCTCGATGCCGCTTGTAAACCACATCCCAGTACTTCCTGGCATCCTTTTCATACTTTTCTGCAAAAAAGGGGTTAATGATCAGATGTAAGATAGATAGATATCTATAGGAAGCCTCTGGGAGAAGGGACCTCCATTTTTTTTTTAAATAGAGATTAGTTGTGAGGCCAATACCACAAAACTTTAATGATCTGAACCGTTTATTTTTCAAGTTGCACCTCTTAGATTATCGTTATAAAATATTAGCCAAATTAAAAATATTTGAAGTATTTAATTGAGTTCAAAGAACTTGACGAACTATTTATTCTATAAGAAATATTGAAATTTCGTCATAATTAAATCATCAAATAGTTTCAGTTTGAATTTAATTTTTATAAAAATGACTATAAATCGAGACTTATAAAATAGATGATTATATATATATATGTTATATATATAGGTGATATATATAAGCCGAATTATTGTCAAATGTGAAATATATAGATGATCAAATATATGTGTGTGTGTGTGTAGAGAGAGAGAGAGAGAGAGAGAGAGAGAGAGAGTACCTCTCCAGAAAGTTGAGATAGTATCAGAGGTGGAGTAAATCTGCAATCGTGGGGCTGCTTGCTCTTGCTCCGAAGCTTCTTTGACAGTGGACGCCATAACCTCCAAAGCTTCTTCCCGAACAAAAAGATATATATAAACATCTAAACTATCTTTGATTTATATAGCCGGTCTTCCTATCTAAAAGAAAAGATGATGTGAGCTCGGGAAAGAAACAAATTCAGAAAAGGCCTTCATGTTTTCATCGTCTTCTCACACGCAATCCTCGGTGCTTTCTGCCAAAAACAGACAAATGCTGTTTTAAAAAGGAGGAAGAAAAATGAAATATATATGCAGCTTTTAATTCTGGTGTGCTGTTCATTTTTTTTTTGGAAGCATTCTGGTGAGCTGTTCATAACCGTTGTGGATCAGATAAGTTATCAATCAGTGATCAGTGCATTATACGACCAAGTGCAAGTGGAAATGCTGCCACGCGCCGCCTCCCTTGTCGACCAATGCATGCATATTGCTGGGTGGGAGAGCACGTGATCTTGCACATGCCTCTCTGTTGCAGTTCACTGTTCCAGAAGCTCCACTGGCAAATCCATTGGTGTGAACTGATCGAGGATAATGCGGTATGTACTGAGAGAAAATTAATTAATTTACACTACTCTCTTTTGCGGTTTTCACATGGCCTTATAAGTTTATTGCATATATGACGTGTAAGTGATTTATTTATTTATTTTGTGTATCAACATGTATAGCATTACTTCATTTGTTTGATTGACAGATAGAGAATAGATGTTTATATATTCTTCAACTTGTTTGGAATGGATGGGACATCGTCGGGCCAGAATTAGCTTGAATACAAATACGGCAACACCAAAAAAAATCAAGTGATTCTGTGTTCTTCTTGTTCAAGCACAACTAATAAAGCCAAAAGTTGGGTTATATTATGGTTGATAATCCACCCCAGCCACACATTATTGACACGTACATTGGACCAGAAAGATGCTCATATAATCCCAACACTATCTAACTATATTGATTGATCGCAGAATATAAAAAAACACTAGTAGCATGTTTACTAAATTGATTAAGATATCATATAATGTTAGGCAGTTACTATTTTTATTTGATACTAACGATATTTTGAGTTAATTTATCCACATTATAAGAAAATGATTCAAATTTGAGTGAAAATATGAGAACATATTATTTTAGCCAACTTTTTAAAATTTAATTATACGTTTGTAGACACTTAATACGATCATTTACTCCCAAAATTATATTATTGTTATTCAAACTAATGTGTCCTTGTATTTATTCATGTATCTTATGTTATATATGACGATACTTTTTGACATGTTATTGAGATATCAACATATATTTATCTGACGTTTGATGACCCCATCATACATTATTGGAGGATAAGATATCAACATATATTTATCTGACGTTTGATGACCCCATCATACATTATTGGAGGATAAAATTTGGTTGTGGGCCTTTGACCACCAAGTGGTTAAATCCGCAATGGTGGAGGATTCAAAATTCGATTTCCCGCGGCCCCCGGGCGCCGCGGGAGGAGTACAAATTTTTTAGATAGAAATAGGGACTGAAGCGTGCAAAAAAACTCAGTTAATTCACTGAAGAATTTCGTCGAACATTTGATGGGTTTGTTATTGTCTGTCAAATCATGTTGCGCACATATCAATAGATACGACACTATCAAACATTAGAGAATTTGTCTTGTGTTGTCGATGCACCCTGTTAAAATATGTCTAACAGACATTATATCAAATACTTAATAAGCACAAAAGAGACACTATCAAACATTCGGAGGTCCTCAAAAGACCTTCATATATACATATATATTTTCTAGATTCCGAATAGTCCTAGAACCATCTTGGTCCCAAAATACATCTGCCCCCGAGTGGCATGCACCCTGATAAATGTCCAGATGTCCTCCTCACTCGTTTTGGTTGCCGCCGAAAGTGGAAAAGGATAAAATGAAAGCATGCTGCTGGTCCAAAGGCTCCAAGGGTCTCTCGCATGCCATTAGGGTTACCACTTACCCCGAAAAAAGTGTTCCATAGACCATGGACCATGGACTATAGTATAAACCACGATGGCAAGAGAAGATGCTTTATCATCATGATTGGCAATGCAAGTGGTGTCTTTTGACAAATATCAAAGCATTGTTGCCCTAGCTAGGGTTGTCGAAACATGTGCAATATGTATGTTCGCACCTCCCTCATTTCCCACTCCAAAAAGGGTAAGTCTTAGGCCATACAAATGGCATGCCCACTTCCATAATGGGTATTTTTCTTCCTACCCTACCATTTATCATCATTCACTGGTACAGTGGTACTTCTTGGTAAGCCACATAGCTCGTAATACATCCTCAATGCACATGTGGTATCGATTAAGATAGACTTGTAAATGGGTCGAATTTGGATCAGATCAATCTTGATTTGTATGTGAATTCGTTTATAATAGAATATTAAATTTGAATCGTATTCATTATTCAGATTATCAGATTTGACTTGTCAATTTGTATTAGATTCAAATTGGATTGGTTCAAGAGTGGATCTAATTTAAAAATAATAAAAACTAAAAGTAACATTATTGTATTTATCTATTACTCATTAGATAATCCAATAGTCTGACTGAGGTTACTCATAAGTGTAATACTTAACAAATAATATAGAAAATAAGTTTGTCTCTCACATGTCCTAAAAAAATATTTAGGTAAGCATGACTGCATTTCAAGAAGCGTTAATTAAATGGGCGTTTTAACGAAAAGTCCGCGGTATTATTCACTTAAACGAAAAACCACATTTTTACACTAAAAATCAATTATGATACTGTTCACTTTACCTTTTATTTTATCTTTATCGTTAAAACTCAAAATTTTCATATCATTTTCATTAGTTTTCCTTTATTAAATATCTCTTGAATCTAGTTTTACTCTGCTCAATGGGCTGCATAGGCTTTTAGTTACCGTATACACTATTTACTGTAGGCAAGTATCAAATCAGATCACATACTATATATTTCATTACGGAATGTAACAAAGGTCTGACGTCTTACAACACAAACCACGCATTTTTGCACTGAATGATGTTCGATGTGAGGGGATTGTGACACTGCCCGTGATTTATTCCTTCGTTTGCATTTTTTGAGTTAATTATTATTCCAACAATAAAAATAAATTAATTATTATAAAGCATATATACTTTAAACTACTTTACCCTTTTTTTTATCTTTCTTTTTTCCGCCGGCTTGTGTATAGTATGATCTAGAATAATGGGTCTGTTGACCTCTCATTGGCCAATCTGTGTGAAAGCAATTCTTCATGTTCTTTTTTCTTTTTTTCCAAGGAAGCAGATTGTTTGCCTCTCCTATTTGGGTGTCCTTCTTATCCTCTCCTATTTTGTGCGGTCATAGTTAAGCCACGTCAACATTTTATATTAATTTTTTTATAGAGATAATAAGACAAAAAATAATAAGAATATAAAATATTGACGTGACTTAACCGTAACCATACAAATAAAAAAAGATAAGAATGGCACCCAAACAGGAGGGCAGACAACTTGCCTTCTTTTAAAGAACTGACCCTGCCACATTGCTTTGTTATTATGATTTGCACTTAATTAGTTTATGATTTGATTAAGAGGGCATAGTGCTTTACCATGTTTGACCTAGCAGATATATTTTGTACGATAATGATAGAGTGACTAACTATTTAGATTAATGTAATATGATGTGGTTATTGATGATTAAATTATTACTCAAGTATTGAATGATTAAATTATTAATGTAAATCATATAACATAATTTACAAATTTAATTTAAAAAGTTAAGTCTACTTAATATTACTCATAATTTGTATTCTGCGTGTTTTATTGTGTCATGGAGATTCAAGGCATTCTGCCCATTCGGCCAATCTAGCTAGCAAATGGGGATACTGCTTATATCTGCATGTGATTTCAATGACAACAATGATTTACTAAAGATCGTAATAGCTTGATCACTTATCCAATTTCCTCCTTCTTTTGAATATCGTATGTGTTCAATGTTTCTTCTTTTTAATATTTTATGTGCCACAGGTTGTATTAATTTATGCAGATCTTACAGATACACTGGTGGTCGAAATTGATTATGCTAGATTGCTAAATTATATTGCAAGTGTTAAAATCTATTACAATTAATTGAGAGGTTGTAATCTTATAAATATTCTAAATGCAAGAATTTGACTTCAATATGGAACACTCTCAAGACGAGAAAACAAAATATAATCATTGTTATGCAAATGTCACTCATCGTTATAGATTCACCAACAATGATGGTGCAATCAACTCAGTATAATCAATGACGCGTTTTGTTTTGACACTTGATGTATACAATCATTTACACTATGTTTGGATGAAGAAATTTAAGATTACTAAGGAATTTTAAAATGACGGAAATTGAAATGACAAGATTTTATTTTTTAGAATTTGTAAATTTTCTTGTTTGGTTAATCTAAAAGAACAATGGAATTGAATTCTGAATTTGTTATTTTTAAACTCTAAATCATAGAAATTGGGAAATAACACCTATTTACATGGAATTTGAACTTGGGAATTGGAGGCCCCAAATTCCAAGTTTTTTTTCCACGCGGAAATTCTAAATTTCTATGTTTATGAATCCAAACAAGGGAATTGGTGCATGTCAATTTATAAATTCTGAATTTTACTAAAATTCCAAGTTTATTTCCCTTGTCCAAACATAGTGTTAGGGATTTTTCTGGGATAGCCTCCCACATTTGACTCAAAATCATTTATATTTTGTGAGAATGTGAATATATATAGGAACTACTCACACATACATGGACAATCATCTTTGGCACTCCTTCACAATTATAGATGGCTCTAAATTACTCACTCACAAAAACAGATAAGAATAACTTGTAAATTATTGGTGCAAATCTATATTGACTCTTAAAAATATCATATGCATCATCGCACAATTAATGCAATTTCTTGAAAATAAACTCTTAAAATTTATGCATACATTTGGAGCTACGTTGGAAAAACGACATGTCCAAATTAAGTCCATTCTTGGGATGGTTTCGATATTACTGTACCAAAATTTCCTTACCAATTATCATATTAAATTTTTGGTGTGACAAATTAAATTTAGTATCATTATCATACAAAATTTTTGGTATATCAAATTTCGGTATGCTATAAAATTCGGTTGGCATGTAATAATAATAGTATTTTACCAATTTAACATTTGGCTATATTTTGGGAACCAAATCTGAATTTTAGCTTAAAATGTTTTTTGCTTCAATTTTTTTTGTTAAGCAAGTAGCCAACGTACTAAGATGAAACTTATTATCATCTTTAATTTTTAAAATATTCTAAAATACCTATAACTTACAACCAAGGTTCATAATTCATCATTATTTCACACATATTTAGATTAGTTAGCCAAACCATGCATAAAGTATTAAATATAAAAGTTACGGTCCAAATCAAATAGAAGTTAAAGACTTCAAGTTGCAAACTAAGTGAAATATATTAACGATAAAAGTTAGTAATTAGTATATATAATTTAACAAA